ACTTTGACTCGGACGTGGCTTAACTCTTAGACCTGCCAGATTCTTCAAAAGCAGATGTCACCGCCGTCTTGCAGAAGATGATTTAGAAAGAAAACAAGAACAAGGTTCGGAAGAAACAGACTACTTGGCAAAAAGGGTGATTGGGTTTGTCTATAGGAAATAAGAGATTTACGAGGGTCAAGGCTCTCAAACAAGCTAACACCCGAAGCTAACATGCCGGAAAGGCACAAAGACGAAAGAAGGTGCAACTAAAGGGTACAAGAGCTTACTTCAACGGTTCCCACTTGCATCTGCCTCACGACTGTGGGTCTTGCTTTGCCGAGGTCCCGACTTCGTACACAGGTCCTGGTTGTTACTTCCACTTAGCCCATCGTTGCTTCCACTTCGATGCTTACTTCCCAACCGGGGTCTCACACTACCAACTGGTTTTGAGTCCGCTGAAGTCTTCCTCTTAAACCTGCACTCGAAGGACTGGTGACCTTTCTTGCCACAAGCAAAGCACTCTATCGGTTTCCCAAGACAGTCCACGCCGGGGTGGTCATTTCCACACTTCTTGCAAACGGAGTGCCTTCCCTTAGCCTCGATCTTCCGGATTGGTTTGGGAGCCTTACCTCTCTTAGAGTCGTCTCTTTGCAGGCTTCTTGTAGATCCAACACTAGTAGCCATCAAACTCCTAACCACAGGTGAAACTCTTTCGTCAAGCTTCTTCTTACGGTTCTCCCGGATTCCTTTTTGAACTTGCTGAACTCGGTAGGGGTCGGCTGCACAAAGGTAGGCCTCCTTGACACGAGCAGGATAGAACTGTTCACGTAACTTAACCTTCAGGTCCTCCCAACTGAACTCCGGATCTTGTCTACAAGTTGGTCTTTCAAGCATCCACCACGAATCCGCTTCTTGCCTAAGGTAGAACGTAGCTAACTCCACCTGGCGATCCTCCGGGCAAATCACAGCTTCGAAGATCTTGTCAAACATCCGGGTCCACTCGTCCAGCACTGCGGGATCTTCTTCACCGGCGAAGATCGGGGGACGGAGATTTGCGACTTGGCGTACTATGTCCCGATTCCCATTCTGAAGAGGGTCGTTGTTGAGGAGGGCGTTGCTCAACGTCTGGGTGATCTACGTCAGATGATGGAGGCTTTGAGGTAACTGTTCACTGGTGACTGTTTCTGAAGACCTTGCACGACGTCTCGATGGTGCCATCCCCGACTTCTACAACAACAGCACGATAACGGGAGGAAACTTAGGACCCGCACCCTTACCTGGTGCCTTAACTAAAGAGAACCAAAGCTAAAAGGAAAACAAAGCATAGACAAACACAACGGGAAACCGTAAAAGAACTCACAACCTCACCGCGCGTCCTAAAGTCCTAAGCCTAAACACTTAGATTCTTATGGTCATCTTAAGGTCTCAAACCACACTTAGCCACTTAGAAGTCTAGACTTTATCAACCTAGGCTCTGATACCAACTGTAACACCCCCTAATTTCCATGCTAATTAAAGCCTTAAACATGCAGATATCTAAACAAAACATCAAACACAGCGGAAGACTGAAAAGGATTATATAAACTGGAAACGAAAGGGGTGCTATGCCACGCTCACCCAGAGGTGAATGCACAGGCTAACATCAGCATAAACCACAATCTAAAATCCATACATGTCCAAAGTACTATAGTCTATCATTGGCACACAGGCCATAATAACAAAACATGGGAACTACACTAGCAGGTTCTAGACCGCGCTCACGTCTATACATCACCTGAAAGAAACACATAAAAGATGGGACGACGCCCGGTCAGCGAATAATGCTGGTAACCCACCAATACATGTGAAATATCATACATAGATAGGCTATACCTATGTAAAATCATTTCGAAACGGAATATACATATATATGTTCAAAACCAAGAGCAAAAGTCAACACAAGACTCTAAGCACTCTCAATAAGAATAGGGAACACATCCCAAGACCACACGAGGTACAACAACTCACAAGAACAGCTCAAGGTATAATCTACCATCACACAGTAGATTAACACCCGACATGCATAACACAAAAGAATAAGGACACAACAATTGGCAACACATTGCCTTTGTGACTACATACGTCACAACAAGAGATACTCACAACAACGGCTACACAAGCCTTCGTGACATCACCCATCACGAATTGATATGTCTTCCTTATGCCCGGTTCCAACCTTATGGCTACCCCCAACCTTATGTCTAGTTCCAACCATTACCTCCAGGACCCCTGTACAACCAAGTCCAACCTTTTCCCTCCTGGGACCGTCGTCCCCCACCAACGACCACCAACAAGACCACCAATTCATAGTACACAAGGTACCGATCACACACACGGCAACACATGCCACCCAAGAAATACGTGAACCTTACACAAAGGCCACAAACTCCATAATCGCGTCAAGGCCACCACGAGGACCATTGCCGTACCTTTGTGATTAAGGCCCCATAAACCAAAATCGTGCAAACCAGGTACAGCCTCACACACACCACACCTCAACATGAATCAATCAACGGATCACAACGAAGATATGAAACCATACTCAATCAAGGAATTGATCACAGTCCAACAACAACGATGATTAACACAAGTCATCATCAACAATATGAAGGTACAAACAACACACACGCTAGCATTTAAACACCGAACTAGCATGCTTATCAAACGGGTAAACCAAACGTAGTTCCGAAGAACACACAAGACTCATCACGGTTCAACGAAACACAATGCTGAACAGTTAGCACGACTCAAGACACCAACACCTACATAGATTCCTACCATATAGTTCTAGACATACGAAACATCAAGAAGATGCTCAAATAGTTCCACAAAAGAACATCGGGAAATCAAAAGACCAAATACCGAGTCAAAAGAATCACGGGGAACAAATCCCCAAACAACACCATCATGTTCCTCGCAGGTGGACCCACGGGTAGACCCCCACCCGTGGTTCCGCCCGCGGGTACACACCCACAAGCCATATGTTCCCCGCGGGTGGGGCGGCGTGTAGGCCACTGCCCGCCGTTCCGCCCGCGGGTACACTCCTGTACCCAAAATAATCCCTTCGGGGATTTTCAACACCAAGCTTAAATTCAAGTCCAAAATATGCCAAATCTCCCCAAATACAACAAAATAACTTTAATCAAAGGAATAGCCAAGCAATGGCAGACATGAACCCTAAACACAAGCTCTAGATATGCATTTTCACAAGACAATGCATAACCACTCACATTTCATAGCAAAATCACATGTAGAATCCAAGAAATCATCATATAGGTAAGCAAAATAGATTTTGTAGAGCATGGGTTACCTCCTGTAGACAAAAACCTTCACTTAACACTTCTCCAAGCTCCTACTAAGGCTCACTTTCCAAACCCACTTCATGAACACACCAAAAGATCATAAAGATTCTATCTTTAAGAAAAGACACCTTAGAAAACACTAAAAACACAAGATGAACATAGATCTTACCCTCCTAGATGCTCAAAGGTATGAAAGGTAGAATCTTGGAGACAACACTTGAAGATTTGATAAAGCTTCAACTTGACTTGGAAGAAAATCTATCGAACTTTTAAAGAGAAGGGAGAGCTCAAATTTGGGAAGTGTAAGGAGCAAGAATGAGGAGTGTCTACTAGGTTAGCTTGCATTACTAACACAAGGTGAAATGTCATGAATACCCTTACTAAAATGAAGAGGTGTAAGGGAACAAGGGAACTCCTCACAAAGCTTAAGGTACATCCTTGACTTTGGGGTTGACTAGTCAATTACTAGTCTCCGACTATTGAATTTTTAGGAATTTTAGGAATTAAATTACCAATTGGTTTATGATTAATTTCTTAATTAATCCCTTAATTGAATTTGTATTACGGGGTGTCACAACCATCCTCCACCACAACCATGTGACGGTAAAACTCCTTAACCAAACTTGGGTATGTCTCGACCCTGATGACGAGAAACCCATCTAACAACCCTTGGTATCTAAGCATATCCAACAAAGAACTAGAGAAAGATTCTGGGTCGAAAGCTTTAACGAGATAATGGGTATCCACTCATTCTACCTTTCTTGCCAAACTTGATCTTCTTGGCATGATTAAGAGATGACCCAAAGCTCAACCAAAGGAACCCAAACTTTCCTCTTCTTTTTCTTCCTTCTTCTCGCTGCTCTATCTCTCTCTCGTTGTTCTCTCTCTCTCTCTCTCTCTCTTGCGACGGCCCGGCGACGGCGAGGAACTCCGACGGATGGCGGCTCCAGCAGGCAATGGTGGTGGCGGCTTGGTCTTCGACGGCAACGGGGACCGGCGGGTGGCAGGTGGTGGCGACGGGTTGATGAAGGGGGTGGTCTCGGCTGACTCACGGGTAGGGATAGGGGAAAGAAAAAGAAAATTGGGATTTAGGGATTTCGGGAGAAATTGGGAAAAGGAGATGATTTAATTTGGGGATTTGGGTAAAGTGGAAATTTATGGTTTAGATAGAATTAAAATTGGATAGGTTTCAAGAAATATATTTAGCTCAAGTGGTTAAAGGGTTGGGTTGGCAAATTGCACACCCGAGTTTGAAACTCAAGGTTTGCGAATAAAAGTCTACTTGTTTTTTAGGCTTCGCAAAAAGGATTTTATGGATTTTTCTATTCGAATAATGCTTGGAGAAGTTTGTGACTCACAAGAAGGAAAGGTTGCAATTAATACATGTGCAAAGATGATGGAATTAACTCAAGCATGACTGTTTTTCGAATAATGCTTGGAGAAGTTTGTGACTCACAAGAAGGAAAGGTTGCAATTAATACATGTGCAAAGATGATGGAATTAACTCAAGCATGACTGTTTTAGAGGTAAACAACTATCTCTACGAAAGGCTTAAACTTAAAACTAAAAGAATCATTCATATGACAAGGATACAAGGCAACTCAAACAGTCAACAAATCAAATAGTCAACGAAGGAAACAAGACAACACACCATGGCAACAAGAAACAAGATGCGTTCTAAAGACAAGGGTAGGCTAGGAAAGGGTTACCTGCTAACTCCTCCTCAACTAAGCCCTCGGCCTCCGCCTGCGAACGCCCCATCAAGAAGACTCTTCTCAACGGTCTGGCCCCGGATGCTCCACGACTCGAGCTACCTTTCATGCTGCTCCTCCGGATCCTGGGCACCGCCCTTTGATTGACTTGCTGAGGGCACTCGGCGATCTTGTGTCCCTTCTCTCCACAACGGAAACATCTTGACACGAAGCCATTGCAACTCTGTCCTGCATGCACCTTCCCAAATATACGGCAAGCAAACGTCTTGACTTGATTTCCATGCTCCACTTTATTTGATCCTTGGGTTGGAGGCAATGTATTCTTGGCTTGGAAGCTCGGCTTGGGCCTCTTGAAGTTGGAAGAACCTCCACTCTCGGTCCTCTTTCTTGCAAGCTCATAAGACCCTCGCTGCAGCTGCTGAACACGATACAAATCCGCAGCACTCAGGTATGCTTCCTTCAAGGAGCTCGGACTACTCACGGTTAGGGCCTTTCGTGCCCCGTAGTTCAAACCAGCTACGAACTTCTCAACTTTGGCGAGCTCAAGAAACTTCTTGTGGTACTCAACCACCGATGAAGATCCTTGTTGAAGATGAAGGAATTCCTCGTACATCACGGCTCGCACATATGCCGGATAAAACCTCTCACGCATCCGATCCTTCAGGGAAAACCAATCAAAGCCAGGCTCCTCAAGGCAAGCTGGGCTCTCGTGCACCCACCACAAGTCGGCCTCGTGGCTGAAGTAGAACGTCGCAAGCTCTACTCTTCGCTCCTCTGGGCATCCAACAACCGAAAAGATCTTACCAAACGTCCTTACCCACTCTTCGAGAACAACGGGGTCTTCCTCGCCCGCGAACGTCGGAGGTCTATGGCTCGACACAAGACGCCCTATATCCCTATGCCCGGCAGGCTGCGGAGGTGGCACGGGATGGTTGTTGTGCAACAAGGCCTCACTAAGGGTGTCCATAGTCTGCGTCAGCTGGTGTAGGTTCTGGGCAAGCTGTTCGTTCGTCGGGGTCTCCGGTGTACGTGCACGCTGACGGGGAGGCATCGCAACACTGTTACCAACAAAACAACAAGCAAGCAAACAACTATAAACAACACTCAGCTCACCGCGCATCCTAAGAATCCTAAGCCTAAACACTTAGATTCTTATGGTTACCTTAAGGTCTCAAACCACACTTAGCCACTTAGAAGTCTAGACTCTAACATCCTAGGCTCAAACCTAGGCTTTGATACCAACTGTAACACCCCCGATTTCCATACTAATTTAAAGCTTAATCATGTAGATAATCTAACCATAAAAGCATACACATCAGAAGACTTAAACATGAAATAGATGGAAAACGTAGAGTGTTATGCCACGTCCACACAACGGTGAATGCATAGGCGAAAACATCTGCAACATAATTTGTCTATTCAAGAATAAGGTCAACAACAAAAGTCTAAAGTCTAACAACGGCACACAGGCCAAAACCATCACAAGGTTCAAGGGAATCTACACTATCTGTCTCTAGACCGCGCTCTCGTCTACTCAGCACCTGAAAGAAACACATGAATATATGGGACGACGCCCGGTCAGCGAGTGATGCTGGTAACCCACCAATACATGTGAAATATCATATGTAGATAGTTTATATATACAAAATCATTTGCGAAACGGGATATAGTATATATAAGTTCAAATCCAAGAGTAGAAGTCAAACACAAGACTCTATTCACTCAAAACAAAGATACGGGAAAACATCCCAATACAACAAGAAGCAATAACGACTCATAAGAATGGCTCAAGGTGTATTCTACCATCTCTTAGTAGAATAACACCCGACATGCATAATTCAAGAGAATAAGGACACACACATTGGCAACACATGCCTTTGTGACAACACATGTCACAAATAGAGAAATACACAACAATGGCAACACATGCCTTCGTGACATCACCCATCATGAATTGATATGCCTTCCTTATGCCCGGTTCTAACCTTATTGCTACCCCCAACCTTATATCTAGTTCCAACCTTTACCTCCAGGACCCCTGTACACCAAGTCCAACCTTATTCCCCCAGGGACCGTCGCCCCCCCTCCAACAACCCTCCAACAAAACCACCGATTTCATAGTACACGAGGGTACCGATCACACATGGAAACACATGCCTTGGTAACACAAGTTACCCCAAAACAAATACGTGAACCTTACACAAAGGTCACAAACTCCATAATCGTGTCATGGCCACCACGAGGACCACTGTCGTACCTTGGTGACTAATGTCCCATACCATTAATCGTGCAATCCAGGTACAGCCACACACACCACACCACAATAGGAATCAATCAACGGATCACAACGAAGATATGAAACCATACTCAACAAGGAAAGGATCACAATCCGACTCCAACGATGATTAACACAAGTCATCATCCACGATAGGAAAGGACAAACAACTCACACGCTAGCATTTAAACACCGAACTAGCATGCTTATCAAACGGGAAAACCAAACATAGTTCCGAAGAACACACAAGACTCATCACGGTTCAACGAATCACAAGGCTGAACACTTAGCATGATTCAAGACACCAAAACCTACATGGAATCCTACCATATAGTTCTAGACATACGAAACATCAAAAAGACACTCAAATAGTTCCACAAAAGAACATCGGGAAGTCGGAAGACCAAATAACGAGTCAAAAGAATCACGGGGAACAAATCCCCAACCAACCACATAACGTACCCCGCGGGTGGGGCCACGGGTGGACCACCACCCGTGGTTCCACCAGCGGGAACCATTTTCCCACGAGTGTGTACCCTGCGGGTGGGGCGGCGGGTGGTGCATTACCCGCCGTTTCGCCCTCGGGTACATCATCTGTACCAAAATAATCCCTTCGGGGATTTTCAACTCCAAGCTCAAATTCAAGTCCAAAACATGCAAAATCTCACCAAATACAACAAATTGACTTGAATCAAAGGAATAGCCAAGCAATGGCATACATGAACCCTAATAACAAGCTCTAGATATGCATTTTCACAAGACAATGCATCAACACTCACATTTCATAGCAAAATCACATGTAGAATCAAATAATCATCATATAGGTAAGCAAAATAGATTTTGTAGAGCATGGGTTACCTCTTGAAGACTCAACTTTCACTTTAAACACTTCACAAAGCTCCTAACAAAGTCCCATCTCCACACGCACTTCAAAAACACACCAAAAGATCATAAATATTTCACCTTTAGAAAAAGATACCTTAGAAAACACTAAAAACACAAAAGGAGCTTAGATCTTACCCTCCTAGATGCTCAAGAATTGGAAAGGTGGAATCTTAGAGACAAACTTGGAAGATTTTGATAGCCCTAGATTTAGCTTGGAGAGAAAGCTAACTAGCTTTTTAGAGAGAAGGAAGAGCTTATGATTTTGGAGAGTGTTTGGGAAGAAATGAAATGTGTCTCTTAGGTTAGCTTGGAATACCATTACAAGGAAAATGTCTTCTTTACCCTTACTAAGATGAAAAATGTAAGGGAACATGGGAACTATTCACAAAGCTTTAGGCACAACACTTGACTTTGGGTTGACTAATCAATTACTAGTCCCCGACTATTGAATTTTCAGGAAATTAAGGAATTAAAATTACTAATTTGATTAGGATTAATTACTTAATTAATCTCTTAATTGGATTTGGATTACGGGGTGTCACAATGCGTTCATTGGTGGACCTTTCGTCCTGGGCTTCTACGTTTCCCATTCTTTGTACGGGTTCAGGCTGGCTAGGCTCGCTTTCTTCTTCATGCTCCTCCTGTTCTTCACTTTCTTGCATTGCTCGTCTCATTTTCTTGTTTGAGATCTCCAACTGATCAACCAACACTCTTCGTTCTTCCGGGGATTTCAGGCAAACCACCTCGAAGGTGATGTACTGTCCCTCTCCGACATGGTAGATGTCATTGCGGCAGAGGTTTTGGGCATTGAAAACCATTCCACTCATGGGTCTGGCTTCAGTCCGGCTTAGGTCCACTCCCTTTCTTTCTATGATCCAACTTAGGATCATCCCATACGGTAAGCTGAGCCAGTTGCTAGATTTACAGAATTCCTTGTGTTCCAACATAAGGGCGGGTAAGTTGAACTTGACCTTATGCTTAAGGAAATATGCAAAGGTGCATTCCAGGGAACACATTCCCACAAGGCCCGTACCCGCGAGTGGGGCGACGGGTGGTGCCCCACCCGCCGTTCCGCCCGCGGGTACATGTCCTGTACCACAACAATGCACTTCGCGGATTTTTCATCTCCAACTCAAATTCAAGTCCAAAACATGCCAAATCTCATCAAACACAACAAAATGACTTGAATCAAAGGAAATACCAAGCAATGGGACAAAATAACCCTAAACACAAGCTCTAGATATGCATTTTCACAAGATCATGCATCAACACTCACATTTCATAGCAAAACACATGTAAAATCCAAGAAATCACATATAGGTAAGAAAAATAGGTTTTGTAGAGCATGTGTTACCTCTTGTAGACTAAAAGACTTCACTTTACACCTTAACAAGCCCTTCTCAAGGCTCACCTTCCAAACCCACTTCAAGAACAAACCAAAAGATCATAAAGATCCTACCTTTAAGAAAAGACACCTAAGATGAAACCAAAAACACAAGATGGACTTAGATCTTACCCTCCTAGATGCCCAAATAGGTGAAAGGTTGAATCTTGGAAGCAACTCTTGAAGTCTTGGCAAGGTCTCAACTTGGCTTGGAAGAAACGCTACTCACCTTTTTAGAGAGAAGGTAGAGCTAGATTTTTAGAAAGTGTAAGGGATAGAATGAAGATGTCTACTAAGTTAGGTTACAATACTAACACAATGTGTAAGGTCAAGAATGCCCTTACTAACATTAGGAAATGTAAGGAACAAGGGAACTCCCTTCAAAGCTCAAGGTACAACTTTGACTTTGGAGTTGACTAGTCAAATACTAGTCCTCAAGTATTGAATTTCAGGATTTTAGGAATTAATTCCTCAATTGAAATAGGATTAATTATTCAATTAATCCATTAATTGAATTTGGATTTTTGGGGTGTCACACATAGGCTAAGGACCGAGTCAGGCATGCTGTGTAACTGGGCTTGGTGTTCAAAGATTGCGACAAGTGCTGGGAGGGGGATTGTTGGGCGTCAGCCGGGTTGGCCGAGTTCAGCCCCTGCTCGATTCGAGATGTGGCGTTGTGGCTTACCATGGAGGGATGTGGTTAAATGGTTAATGTCCACCTACTTATCACCAATTGGTTTTAAGTAGGATATGACAACCAAGTACCATAGAACTTTGCGATCCCGGGGTGGGTGACCCCTTTGTAAGTAAGCATAGTGCAACGCTGAGATCCAACAAATTCTCAAACGTTGCTACGTTGCTATTAGAGGTTGACTTCAATGAGTGTTGGAGTGTTTAATCGCACATATCTTGCAGGTTGACTTTAATGAGAGTTGGCGTGTTTAGCTTCTCAACATTTTGGTTTGGTCAACAAAGCAGAATGTTTTGAGTATATTCATGGTTTGTTATTTATTATTTATTTATTATAATAGGTTTTTGATATTTTTTTATATTTTTGTTTTAGGATAATGGCTATTGATAAAACTTGGATGGAAATTTTTGATAGATCATTGCCACAGTATGAAAAGGAGTTAAGGACTTTCTTGAATTTGCATATAAAAATCTTGATAAAGGGAGAGATGTTCTATGTCCATATGTTTTAGCTTCTCAAGCTGAGCAGGTTTACTATGTAAGCGATATTAAGGATCCTAATTGGCAAGTTGTTATCAAGAGAAAGCCCCGTGATTTCTATGATCTCCCTGATGATGATGTAGGAGATGAACCATGTCAGGAAAATGAAAATTTCGGCTTTACCATTCAAGATTCTAATTTGGAAGATAATAATGATATGGTATTGCATAGGCTGATTTGGATATTGCAACTATTGAAGTAAACTCATCAAATGTTCATACAATGAGTATCGAAGAAGATGAAACTAATAGTGATGGAGATGCTTTTATTAATGATG